CCACTTTGTTATTATTCCCCGACCGAACATCTCGCCTCAACAACGTCTGCACCATCAAACGCATTTCTGGCTCTACTAACGCTTTCAATCGGTCATTTATTCCTCAAGCCATCAGCGACTGCGACAGTCCCCCATCCTCCATTGCCACCATCTTGGATCCTGCTGATTTCTCCTCTGCAGTAAAACTACACCTTTCTTGGCCCATGTGATGGTGTGCGGGGCTAGGCAGATAGGTGAAAACCCTTACGCAGAGCGCCTGCCAGCCAGACTTGTACGTAGTTCAACTACTTTACTCAAGTTTCTGTAGTTTAACTATTTTACTAGGTAGTTTAGTAACTTTCAATTACATTTCTATTCTGGTAATTAGTAGTTTACTTTAACTACTTTTCCGCGTGACTTCTACTCAAATTACAAAATACTTTCTAATTTTAGTAGTTATTTTGCCTATCAACAGAGAAAAGATGTTGGAAGATCAGCTGATATTTGCAGAGGGGGAAGCATGTGGCGTAGAAAAGGGGGGGGGGGGGGTGAAGGAAGAAAGTGATTTGAATAGTCCAACCCCCCCCCCCCCCCCCCCCCGCCTCCAATTTTAACGAGCCCCCCATTGCAACAACACTGCTACGAGGCGCGGGGAGCGAACAGACATGACGCAAGAGAGGCCGAGTAACTGTGGGATTAGCTCTGAATACTGGCGTTTCTTTGTATCCCGAAGCTCAAGGAAACTCGACGCATTTGAAGAAAGGGCTTGTCCCCGCTTCTCCGCAGTGTAGGAATTCTTGCCCACTACAGGAGGTGCACCCACTGCATCCTCACTCAAGGGAGGTAACAAAGCGCAGCACCCGCTCTGAAGTTAATCTGGTGCTTGTGCTGTCTTTCGAGACGTCCTCTGGTAACTTTTCTGAGTGAAGAAATGGCGGCTATAAGACCCATACAAATAAGTGCCTTATAAGTTGATTGTGTTAAGTGGTTCGTCAGCGAGAATAAAGCAATTACTCTATGGCGTATTAGTCGCCGCCATTTCAAAAAAAAAAAAAAAAAGAAAAACTGATGCACCTCCGATTTTGCCGCCCTTGCCGAAAAAAACTGATATATATACACCACCGATTTCCCCTAAAACAATGCATACCGGCCAGAAAAAAACAATAAAAAAAAAACGATGTATAGGAAATGAAAGGACATTCTGAAAGAGTGTGTTAAAAAGAACTTCCACTTTATGTTGAAAATTCATTGTACTTATAGTACGTCCCTTAAAGTACATTGCACCCGGTGTACTTACTACTTTACTTGAAGTACATAACCTCGTATTTACTTTGAACTTCCAAGTAGTTTTTAGACGTACTTTGCGCAACACTGTAAGCAATCAAACACTGTCTGCAAAACCAAGCTCAGGCAGTGCTAAACCTCAAAGGTGAAATGATACATCCGCAGAACATCCTTGACCAAAAAGAGGTACACAACAATTAGGCATGCAGAAGCAGAACCAGCTATTAAAGCATTTCGGTGAAAACACAAGCCGCTTTATATTCGGCTAGCAGAATTTCGCTCACTCATCAAAACCTATGCAAGTACTTCCTTGTTAGCATAGAAAAAAAACGAAAGTAACTTCAAAAGTAATTCGCAACATTTTTACAGTAATTGGTAATTTACTGAATTACTTTCCATTTGAATAATTTCCACTCTCCTCAAATTACTTTTCAGGCTAATACTCAGTAACTTAACCTAATTTTTTGAGTAACTTGTACATGTCTGTTGCCCGCCCGCCACCACATATGAAAAAAACAAAACAGACAAATAAACGTACAGAATATAAACACTACAGAAAGTATGTAAAAAGGAAAGAAACGAAGCGAGGATACATGTATCACAATATGACGAGGATTCCAGATGCGTCCCATACATTCTGGCAAGCTCTCGTGACTCCGGCCCGTTTGTCGGCAGTGGGCTGCGCACACTGAGTGTAATTGTCAGTTGTCAGTCAATGTTTCAACTACCTCGTTGCATCAATGGAGGGGTCAAATGAAAATCACGTTATCCAGAATGCACCGCATCATTTGTCACTTGCGCAGTGGACTGAGTAAATTAACTGGTCGATCTTCTGTTCTTGAGGCAGAAAATATTGAAGAGAACCACACTCGTAAAAGCTCACAAACGCACAGTTACCGTGTAGCCTACTCCAGACCTCGCCGTAACCGATCTCCGTAACTGCGCGACTGCGTGGCGGCCATTTGCGATCCATTGCCTCGTCGCGTTTGTGCGCGTGCGCAGACATTTGCCAAAGTTTTGCCGAATCTTTGCCGAACTTCCCTTGAAAATATCGGCATGTGTGGAACTTTGCCGAATTCGGCAGATTCGGTCCATCACTAACTTTTACGGCGTGTGTGCGTGTAGACCTTGTAAAAGAGTAGGGGGGGGGGAGGGGAGGAGAGGGCCAATTGTGTATGCGCACCGGGCGCCTTGGTCACTGGCTCTTTTTACGGCGCAGGCGATAGACCCCCTAGCAACGACGCTCACGCCGGATTGGCTGCTCGGCAACCCGCGGGACCTTAAATTTCGGATTCGGATGGCGCGTGTATCACTCGAAGCGCGTGAACCGACCCCCGCGCCTGCGTTCATGCCACTTTGCGGCGACAGTGTGCGGCTGCACCTAACCTAATTTTCGTTCATAAAAAAAAAAAAAAAAAAAAAAAAAAAAACCTAGGGAAAGCGGTTTGTTTGATGAACGAGCCACTGTCCTTTGCCCAGTGTGCGTTGACGCATAGAAGCCATGGGCTGTTGACACAGGGGGCATTTGACGCGGAGCTTTTGAGATTGGTGGCTTTCGTGTTAGGGTCTTTTGAGAATGGGGATTTCGAAACTGGGGAAAAAGAAACGGGGCTTATGGCGGGGGGCATTTGACGCGGGGCTTTTGAGATTGGGGTCTATCGTGCACCACCCGGTAAAGCATGGGATAAAGTTTGTGTCGTGCGTAAAAGGTGTGGTATACCGCATTCCCTTCTCTTGTGGGCGCTGTTATATCGGGCAGACTGGCTGGTGCTTAAACATCCGACTAAGAGAGCACCACAGCTCCTTGAAACGCACCGCTAATTCACATCTAGTGATACATTGCAGAGATTGCGGTTGCGAACCACACTTAGAAAACACCAGTATATTATTTCAACACCACGACCAAACATGTCGAGAGATGGTAGAAGCCTACAACATCACGAAGACCAACAGTTCGTGTGTGAGCCAACCTTCGGTGACTCTGACTCCCAGCGAGATGAAGTTTTTGGATTCAGGGTAACAAGAGCTCCTGAGGAAAGAAAGAATAAAACCAGTCTACAATCGGATGAAAAAAGAAGAAAGGGACATATTCCACGAGGCGCCAAGCAAGCGCGCGAACATTTGACTCCATGTTTTTTTATTTCATTGTCGTTCTTCTTTATGCTGTAATAACAAACCAGTTGATAGTCAGCGCTTTGTCTTGTGTTCTCTTCGTCTCTTTGTGTCCTCGTCCCAGTCGCGCTGTTTTTCAACATGATATTCGGCGTTGGACATACTGGGAGGACTTTATCACATCACACATCTCCCGCCGAAAGAAAGCCATATTTTAACAAAATCAAATTCAATACAAATAACTGTAAACACAAAAATAAATAATCAGAATGTCTCTCACGTTTAATAAATTAAAACGCACTTACAAGTAGCGCTGTCCAGGGCCTTTCGTGCCGATCGCTGTAATTACCCGCTAGACTCGTCGAAGATTCCTGGCCCAGAGTTCGACACGGTCCAAAGTCATCGGGTCATGACAAAACGTACATTGCGTAGCAAGCACACCTGTTCCCGATGGTCAAGAGGTCCTCTCCTTGTCACTCACATGGAAGAGAAGGCGGTCCGCCGTGTCTTCGGTCCGTCGAAGCTAGTGGTCACATTCACTAATCTCACCGGTGTGTAGACATTCCCTACAGAATATCTATGGTCTTAACAATCCACATGTTGAAGATCGCACTTGGCAATGAGACGAAATGCACGGCTGGACATCGGAGCTCTATAGGAGCACCGTTCTTGCCGCTTCCAGTTGAAGTATGGTGGAGATGTCGAGCCGCTTCGCCCGATAGAATCAATCTGCCAATCACTATGGTGTACCCAAACAACTCAAAAACTGAAACCATGGTGTCCTGAGATGCGCATGTTGATTTTGTCATTCTTTACCTGGGAGAAAACAGTTCTTTCTGAACAAAAGGTTAGGGCGCAACGCGCTGGTGGTGGAACCCCGAGACTGGGACGAGAAGGGACGGACAAACACAAAGTCTCAAACACAGCTGAAGTTTATTCGACATCAAAAGGGCTTATATAAGCATAAAATCCTACACAAAACGAGAGTTAGAGAGAGAGAGAGAGAGATGGAGAATACAATGTCATAAGCAATACAACAAAGCCACATTTACAATAAAACTAAGAAACATTAACTCTCTTTATACAAAAAAAAAAGTTTAACACTGTTTACACCGGCGATGCCCCACAAAAAAAAAAAAAAAAAAGAAACACAAAGAAAGACGTTTTAAGGATCAAATAAAACGTACACTTTTGTCCGACACGTGTTTGCACCAGTGCAGGGGAAGTTAATTCTCACTCTGGGTCGTGAAAAAATTCCACCAAGCGGCGATACCCAAACTTCTTGTCCCGAAGACTTACGAGAGTCAGTCTTGGCTTGATCACGCAGCATGACACACCCCAAAGCGATTCACGTCTCTATCCGTGCGCGCACTTCGGAGATTAAATTCATATACGTCCACTTCCACAGCAGATCCGCTATGTCCGAAACATAAATTGCCGTCCGCATCCTCCGCTGGCGGATACCAGCAAATATCCTCTGGGTATGCGCGGCTGCAGTCGCGCCGTTCTGAAGTGCCCCTCAATAACTTCTCTCACTGCCGCCCTCGCTCAGCAATATAGGCGTGTTATCTTGCAGCGGGGGCTGTACAAGTGCGTCACCGATGGAATATGCGTGGAGATAGCGTCTCCAGGCAACTCGTAGATTGCCGTACGTGTTGATACCTGTGCCGAGCTCCCAGTCCCGGCGCCGGAATGGCCACCGTCTCGATCTGGGCAACCCCTGCTCCCTGTGCAGCCAGCCTCCGCGGTTGAACGCGCTTGGTCGTCGCGATCACCCTGTGACACCAACTCTGCTGCCATGTTTCGGTTCTGCTGGGTGGCTCATTTCACGTGGTCCACCTGGAGCGCGGCGGTGACCACCCTACTTCTTTTTTCCGCAGGTAGGTGTTGAACACATTGCGTCACTTGACCGTGGTTTGAACGTGAACATTCGACAGGGATCTGTGTGCAGGGGCTAAATAATTAAAAAAAGGAGGACGACCATCCAAGTCCTATCTAGGGACCTTGCGAGGCCTGCACGGCCTCTTCTCGATGGCCGTTCAGGAGTAATTGAGGATTCCTAATTAGGGCTTGATTGGAAGTCCTCTTTTTGTGTTCGCTCCACCGTGTGCGCGGAGGGCGGCGGTGGCTGTGCCAGGTTCGGGCCGCTTCAAATAAATTCTACCAACAGCTCCGAGTGAGCGCAGAGTCCCCGCGCGTGCGCGACCCTCGTAAGATTACTCCCGTGTTAGATTTTGACAAGGTTGGATTAGGCATAAAATGACAAGGGGCCAGATATGTGCAAAGTTCGGTGCTACCGCCGAAAAGCGGTCGAAAAGGATGCATGCACCAAAAAGCACGTAGTACCATTTGTGGCTTGTGTGTCTGGCGGTGTTTATAAAATCTCCTTGTCGGGTGGCATGGTCTACGCTGGACAGACGGGCCACTTTCTAAATGACAGACTTAAAAAGAAATCTGCAAACCGTGGATTACCCCAGAGTTGCTGGACAAAATTCAAGCAAAAGATAGATTATATAAAATGTTCTTGAAAACGCGTGATTGTTACTTGCTTGAAGGGTTCAAACAATATCGCAACAAGCTAACTAAGGAGATTAGAAATGAAAAAGCAAGCTATTTTCGGGACCTTTTTTTCCAGTGCGCAAATAAGGCAGATACAACGCGGAGAAAATTGAACCGAGGATTGAATCGCCAAAATCAGAGGCAATGTTGTTTGATGATATACCTTTAAATGATATAAAAGAAACATGACAAGTCTTTATTTCTAAGCCCGGCAATAGAAACTGAGGTGACATCTGTATTTCTAGAAATAAATAACAGTGAAAGCTGCGATGCAGAAAGCATCAAAACTAAGGCCGTAAGATATGTTTTAGATTTGGTATTGCCATATCTAGCTTATATTTTTAACATTTTTCCACTAGAACGCGTCTTTCCTAAACGAATGCAAATCGCAAGAGTCCCAGTCTTGTATAAAAGAGGGGGACAAAAACGATACGGATAACCATCGGCCTGTATCAATATTGCCTGTTTATTTCGAAGGGTATGGAAAAGATTATTTTATCCAGAATGTCTAATTGCTGCGATAAGCATTCTATTTTGAATAACGCGCAATTCGGTTTCAGAAAACATCGGTTAACAGAACTCTCCCTTTTAGGACAGAAAGACTCTATCCTAAATTGTTTCGAAGACAAAATATCATCGCTCGCCATTTTTGTCGATTTTACAAGAGCTTTTGATCATTTGAATTATAACTTGGTATTAAAGAAAAAACTGTAGATTTATGGTTTCTGCGGAAACACTTTAGGTGCTCTTAACATCGTACATAATCGAAACCAATTTGTACAAATGGATGCCACTCCTCTTATATAAAACCAATTTTATCAGGTGTACCGCAAGGGAACTGCAGTAATGTTTTGATGTGGGCTAGTCGGTGGTGCGTTGTAAACATGTAAATAAAACAGCGGAATATTAAATAAATAAACGCATTTTATTTTTTCTTAAGGAAACACGTTTCTGCAAAAATCCGGAATCTGCATTGGGTCTAGTGTGGCTCCGATATTAAGTGATAGCTACCTAGCAGGTTGTGATTGTGCTATTGCAGAAAGGTTAGATGATCGGTTTTTGAAAGTCTTCAGGTATGTTGATTACCTGGTTGTGTCTAAACCTAAGCAGGGTTCAAGGAATGCTTAGTTGGTCTCAGAGTTATTAGATACCTTTTGGGAGTGCTCTGAGGTCTGCGGTTTACGAATGAGTTTCCACCTAGAAAAGCTTCGCAATTTTTGGACCTAAACATTCGCCTTGGACCGAATTACCTGTGCTGGGCTTATGAGCCTAGAACAAAAAAGCCCCTCCTTAGCTACGAATCTGCACAGTCAAAAGTTGTAAAAAGAGGTATTGCAAAAATCATGGTTGAGAGCTTCTTTCTTGAAATTCTGTGTTCATGGATGTTTCAGCAGCTTTCTGGTTCATGCCAATAGGTTAACAAAAGCGGGTTTCCCGAAACTTGTCATAGTGGGGTTCAGTGTCGTAGGCAGAAAATATTTTCGGGGGGTGTTTCAAGGTGCTGGTGCAACCAGACACACAATAAAAAAAAAGAAAGATATATTTAACAAAATAAAATTTCGGGGGTGTTCGCACACCTGTACACTCCGCCTGGCTACGCGCCTGGTGGGAGTAGCGGAGTCACTTTTAAAATTATTCAGGAATCCCCTTAGGATTCCTGAAAACGTTAGACGAAAATCTGCTTCTCGACCGGGGCTAAATTCATATTTGCACAGCTTCTTCCACAGAATTAAAGAAGTGGCTGTTAAATACGAAGTCTCTGTAGTATTTTCAGTACCTTCCAAGGTATCTCGTTTGTGTACTTCTATTGAGAAAGCAGAACTTCAACGTGTACGGTGTGGGATAAACCATCGCATCAGATATGTAGCTTGTACTGTGGGGGTCGTGTATAAAATACCATTTTCCTGTGGTAAAGTGTATATTGCGCGGACGGGCAGATGTATTAAAGTTAGAGCTCGGGAGCATTCGCTGTCTCTGAGGTCTTCACCTTCGAGTCACATAGCCGCTCATTCGATAGGTGTGGCTGTTCACCTCGGTTAGGTGACATTGAAATCTTGGCTAAACATTCACAATAAATGGCTACTTAAATTCATGAAGCGTTTTACATTCGACAACACGGTCCCGATCTATGTGTAAGTTCAGAGTCAGTTACGATATCCAGTGAAGAGTTCGAGTTTGTTCGAAGTTTGGGCACATTTATTTAATACTTTCTTTCTGCTTCCGTGGGAGCGATTCTGTAGCTACAAGCGCGTACATGCGGTCTGGTGACCATCACCATGAGGCCGCGTGCGAGACAGGTACGCACAGAGCATTAGGGATCGCGCTGTAGTTTTGGCTCTGCTCGGACCTGAGGTGGAACGATGTATAGTTATATAGACGCTTTACAGCAGCTGTGCGTGGGCGCCGCCATAACTGACCGTCAGTTTTTGTTCCCTCTTATTCCGTTCGCTTCAATTCATCATTACCACAGCAGGACAGGTTATTGCCATTTTAGATGCTACTGTGTTCTTGTGCCCAGCATAGGCCCTTGTGAAGACCCGTCAACGCCCGCTTCAGTGGCTCGGCATCTCGGTAAGACAAGAGAAGGGCGCCTATGGCGGCTCAATCTGGCGCGTGTGTAAAGCGTCTATATTTTTCTACTACTTACTTTCCTTTTGCTTTTTTTATTTTTGTAATGATATACTTTCTGTTAGAAATCTTTTGGATGGCACATGACAGCGAAGATGTACTACATGTTGGATTCTTCTTTTTATTTGTGCTTTAAGAAGACGAAAAAGAGAGTAAGTCGTGAGTAAGCGCTGTGTCTGTGTCCCTTCTTCTACTTGTCCTTGTGTTCATTTGCGCGGTTTTATTTACATGTTCACAAAATACCGCAAGGGAGTATCCTGGGTCCAATTTTATTTAACCTACACTTACATTGATAACGTCGCAAAAAAAATTTTTTTTTTGGCAGATGATATTACATTGTTGTTTTTCGAAAAATGTCCCTTTAAACTAATTTCCCAAGCAAATGCTACACTTGAAAAATCGGAAAAATGGACCGTGAGCAACGCGCTAAAAATATATACAAGTAAAACTAAAGTCGTCCAATTTCACACACAAAAAAAAATGTATGAGTTTATGAAGATATTATTTTGTTCGATTCAAAAAAAGAATTAGTCAGCGCCTTCAAAACTCTTGGCGTATTTTTCACGGAACGGATGACATGGGGAGAACATAGAGACTATGTCGCGTCGAAACTATCGAGTATCGTAGGTTACTAGAGTTAAACTTCTCGTACGCAACACATTATTCTCTTCGCGTATAAATTCATCTCGTCTAGTATGGGGAAACACGACCCTCCAAAATTCGCAGAAGATTTACCTACTGAAGAAGAAAATGCTAAGAAATATAGATAACGTTCCGTATGATCACCCTTCTGCACCACTTCTTTTTTAAATCATGGCAATGAGCATACATAACATGTGTGCATTTCGTTGAAGTATAATCTATAAACAGGAAGCGAAATACAACACGAATCTTCTTACTCAGTTCGTTTATGTAAAATAACGATCATATATCCCACACGTAGCATTGACAAATGGACCATTTAGTCGTGTAAAACGAGTTATGGGTAGCAAATGATAAAACGCAAACTTCCGTTAATTGCTCAATTTATGTATTAATTGCAATATACAACTAGAATCTTCACCAAAAAAAAATTGAAGGTTTTTGATCACGAGTGTGAAGTCATGAGTATCGAGGGGGTTATGATTGTAGAATGTTTTTAACCAATCTCATAAAAAAAAATACTTGCTGGCATGATTGATACATTGTGTTTTTGCGCGTTTTGTTGTACTTTCTGCCTTTTTGTTTTCTACATTCTATAATTTCTGGGAAGGAGGGTGCTCGTCAAGCTGATTTCTTCAACTTTCTGTTTTGTAACCTCCCACATCGCTCGGATCGAAAATAAAGACATTATTGGAGAACGTTCGTATTCACTCATGGCCAGTGTTGGGGGGTTGCTACCATTCCGCTCTAGGGACTGCAAGTGCCAGCCTAACTTTACTGAAGTCACTGTTTTGGATAAACATACAAACATAGTGATAAGGGAAATCATCGAGGCCTCTTTTATCTCTGAACTTGGCGGGAGATGCGTGAGCAAGCCGTTAAAAGCTTTACCTAAAAAAAAAAAATTGGGTACCTTCGATCAGCAATGAAGGGCATTACGCATTCACTGATATGACCTATCTTGAAAAAAAATATGCTGCTTGGTTGGCCCGTGTGTATTTTGTCTGATTAAGACGCTTCTTCTCTTCTTGCTTCCTTTTTTGTGAATTAA